CCTGCCCGCCCCCCATCACCTATCATCTCACCCACTTCCCCGAGTCCCCTCCCAGCTTCCCTGAGTCTCCTCTCCTAGACTCGGGAGTGGGACAGGGAGTGGGTTTAGGGCTGCCCTGAGCCCAGCCCTCACAGTTCAAGCGGGAGGTAGGAAGGGGTCTCATAGCAGGAGACACGGAGAGGGGTCACTGCCTGTGGGCGGAGCCTGCGTGGGCTCCAGAGTGGCCCTCTGCCCAGGTCCGGAACGACATCTCGATGGGCCAAGCGGTGGCCGTGGAGCTGGTCCTGACGCTGCAGCTGGTGCTGTGTGTGTTCGCCTCCACCGACACCCGCCAGTCCTCAGGCTCCCCCGCCGTCATCATCGGCATCTCCGTGGCTCTGGGCCATCTGGTTGGGGTAAGTGATCAAGGGGACACAGTTACTGTGCACACCCTGGCTCCCTCCCTGGAGAAGCTTGGGGGGAGGGGGCCTACAGGACTGGAGGTGTCCCTCCCTGAGCCCTGTGCCTTGGGGCCTGGCTGCGGAGGCCAAAGCGGGGGTCAGAGGTCTGAGCAGGGTATCAGGGCTGTCCCCTCCCAGGCCTGCCTTCAGCCTCCTCTCACCTACCACTTGTGCTTGCTCCTCAGATCTACTTCACAGGCTGTTCCATGAACCCCGCCCGCTCCTTTGGACCCGCGGTCATTGTTGGCCAGTTCACTGTGCACTGGGTGAGCTCCGAGCTGCAGGGAAGGGAACGGGCCAGGGGTGTTAGCCAGCAGACAGAGAGCCACAGAGGGTCTCCACAGCCTTGGGGGGACACCCCCACCCCTCACAGACCACCCTAGGGGAGGAAGGTTTCCCTAAACACAGAAGACCAGGAGGCTCATCTGGGTGGTAAGTCCTCTCTCCAGCTTCCCCAGGCCTCACCCCACCCCCACCCAGGGCTTCTCAGGGAACTGGCAAGGAATGGGCCAAAAAGGAGCAATCGCCCTGGCCCCGCCCTCAAGTCCTTGGCTGTCTTCTTATTCAATTCCTCCAGCTGGGCGGGTTTCCAAGTCTGGAAAAAGACAGAGGCCAACAGAAATTGACTCACACCAGCAAAGGCAGGCCGTCTGTGAGGCAGGGGAGGCGAGGAGTCCCCGGCCTGGCCCAGCCCCCAGGCTCAGTGCAGCAGCCCCTGGCTGCTCCTTTGAAGGCCAGGTCCAGGAGGCCGGCCATGGGGCTCTCAGACTTGCACCCTTGTAGATCGCTTGAGGTTTCCTGGGAGATAGGCAGGGGTTCCCGAGACACTCCCAGGGTCCTGACAGCTCACCACTGGTACACCTGTTTCTCCCACCCACCTCCTCAGATCTTCTGGGTGGGACCTCTGACGGGGGCAGTCCTGGCTTCACTGATCTACAACTTCATCCTATTCCCTGACGCCAAGACGTTGGCCCAGCGACTGGCCATCCTCACGGGCACCTTGGAGGTAGACACTGTGGTCGGGGAGGAGCCCCAGAAGAAAAATTCCCAGTCTGATTCAGGGACCACCGAAATGGAGAGCGTGTCTGATGGCATAGGCCTTGGGCCTGGCCCTTGGGCTCCAGAGAGGAGCCTTGGAGGTGAGCAGCAGGAGAGGGTGGGCAGAAGGTGATAGACCCCACCCCTGGCACACCATTTCTAGATGGAGACCCTGGGGAGCAAATCTATCCAGCCTCCTCCCCGGGCCTCCCATCTCTCAGGGGACAGAGCTGAGGGAGAGAAGAGGGGGTTTGTGGCTGCCTCCCCTGCTCTCTCTCATCTGGACCTCAGAGTCCTGGAGGAAGGGGGACCAGAGTCCAGCCACCCACTCTGCTTTGACTGAGGGCTGCAGGGGGCCTGGAGAGAAGAGCCAGAGCCCCTGCCGAGAAATCAGAGCCAGAGACAGCCTTCGGAGCCCCCTTGAGGTGGCTTCTGGGTGTGGTTTGGTGTCATGGGCCCACCTTTCTGAAGATAGGGAGTCACCCTCCCATCACTCCTCCCTCAGCCCTCCAAATGCCCTTGGGAAGAGCTGACCTAGACAGGGGGCTTCAGAGGGGCTGGCAGAGGAGCAAGGGCGGGCCAGGGGGGGTTGGACCCAGCCGCTCTTCCCAGGTAACTGCCTGCCTCCTCTCCACAGGCCCTCCTACGGGAACATTCCAGAGAAAGGAAGTCCCCATCCTACCCCTGGACCAGAAAGCTTCTTCCTATGCCCCAGATTCTCAAGTCAACTGGGATCCCCAAAAAACTGTTGAGTGAGTCCCCAGGGTGCTAAGAACCCTGGGGGTGACTCAGGAAACCAAGACGGCGGGGCCCAGTTTGCCCTGCTCATGATTTGGGCTCTTATCTGGATCTTGGCTCCCCCATCTGTAAAATGGGCACACCCTTCCCTCGCTGGGGAACTGCTGTGGAAATAAATGTGTTTATGGAAGTTAACATGCTGGGAAGAAGCACCCAATAAATAGACGATGATGCTTGTTGCTATTCCTGCAATTATGAGGCGTGGAAACAATTCCTGTGGCAAGGGGAGGGGAGGAGAAAGGAGATGGGGAGGGGGCGCACTGGGGGTGGGAGGTGGGGGAATGACCTGGCTTTCCCCTCATTTCATTGGCTTCTTTCCCTCCTCCCCTTCTGGGTCTGTGGACAGAGCTTGGTGGGGGTGGGCGTGGGGGCTGGGTAGGGGATCTGGAAGACAGCAACACGCCAATAAGTCAGTTCTTTCCATCTCTATGGTGCCCATCACCATGGCACCCTGAAACGCGGCAGCCCAATCCATAAAAGAGATAGGCCCCTTCCCAGGATGTCTCCCAAGGGGCTGGGGGGTGGGGAGGGGGGCAGGTCCCAAAGTCTTCCAAGAGCCAGCCAGCAGGTGACCAGTGCAGTAGCTGGGCGCCCCCCACCCCCTGCCCCACCAGGACTGGGCCAGAAGCCATGCTCCGCTTTCTACGGCATTGTCGCTACAGAGATGAGCTCCCAGCTCTCCAAGTCAGGCCCCACACCCCCACTCATCCATCTTCACAGCCTGCCAGAGGCAGGGGTTTGCGTGCCCTTTTCCAAGCGGGGGCGTGTGTGCGCGCGCGCGCACGTGCTCACGTGCATACATGGAAGATCTGATTGACTCACTGAAGGTCGCCGGGCTCCGAGCCACAGCCACCTCAGGTCTCCCCAGCTCCCTGCCAGAGAGAGCTCCAGGGGGCCGGACCCCCTGCAGGTGGTAGCAGGAAGGGAGCCCCGCCTGGGAGTGGAGCGCCTGCGGGGGGTGAGGGGGCGGGGGTGCCTCCAACTCCTTGACAAATTAGCCAGAGCTGGGCACGCGCACGGGGTGCTCAATACAAGTTTGATGAATGAATAAGCAGCACTGCGGAGAGGCTGGGGAGGGTGAGGACAGGAAGGCGGTCATTGATCAAGAGGAGGAAAGTTCAGGAGGTGCTGGCTCCCAAGGACAGCAGCCAGTGCCGCCAGGGAGGGGCGCCATCACCCTCCACCCCACCCCACCCCCAATAGGGCACAGTGGCTTCTGCCCCAGGAAATGTGGAACCCTGAGGCCCAGAGTGACGGCCCAGGGAGCCATCACTTCCCTTCTTACAGCTGTTTGTCCCTGTGCTGCCCAAAGGGCCCTGTCCCTGGGAAAGGAGGAATTGGGGTCAGGTCGTCTGAAGAGCACTAAGGTCAGCCGCAGGAAGGAGTGACCCAAGGCAGCTGCTTGGGCTGGTTTCCTAGGACAATCGGCCTTTTGTGAGCTGAGGGAAGGGCCACCCTGTGAGGAACCTCAGGAAGGGGCTTCATCCTTCTTCTCCTCCTCCTCGGCCTCACAGCACCTGGGGGTGAGGGCAGGACAGAGACCCAACTGGGCCAACCCCGGGTGCCAGCCCTGCCTCCCCTTAACTGGGGGAAGTTTTTAATTAACGGTGTGTAATCTGATCTGGGCTTTCTCCCTGCTGGGCACTGCCTTCAATCAGCGGAGCCATCTGCAATTGCAATTCATAATTCTCCAGAAAAGGAGGGGGACTCAGGCCGGGTGCCCTGGTGATTAATACAATTAGCCTTTTATGTTGATGATTGTCTTAGCGGGAGCAGATGAGGCTGAGCCTGGGCTCTGGCCTCCCAGTTGGCTGGCATGGAGCCCCTCTCCGCCCCACGCCCAGACTTCCTTTAACCTGCTACCCCCAGGCAGGAGGAGGTCAGGCCTGCTGTCCCATGGCTCAACGGGAGAGAGCAGGGTCAAGACCAGGAGCCAGAGACCCTCACTTCCCAAAGGCGATCACATGGGCCCAAAGGATTCTGTGCACCCACAAGAGAGAGACGACAGGGGCCTAAGGTGAGTTAGAAGGGTCGAAGGAGCTTAAATGCAGGCTTACGCATGTATGAGCTGTGTGAACTTGGGCGATTTAGTCTAGCAGTCTGAGCTTCATGTGCCTCACCTGGAGCTCGGGGCTATGCAGGCACACTCCCCATGGGCATGCGCGCTGCCATCAGTGGTAGCTATTTCCGCCATCACGGAGGTAGACTGCCATCCCTCTGCCAAGGAGGCAGCTGCTCCCCCTGCCATTTCCAATGAGGCTCAGGCTATTTCTAAAGAAGTGATCCCATCCTTCCTAAGGTTTGGGAGGGAGGGGTCCCAGAGGAAAAGAGGCGTTAAGGCTCAGACACAAAGAGAAAGGGGGGCTTCTCAGAACACAGGAAGTGGGGCGCTGCAGGAGTAATCACAGTAGGGAGAGATTCGGGAAATGAGGGCAGGGGTGTGGGGCGCAGAGAGGCAAAGGGATGGAGAGGATCAGGACTTTGAGGACTCGGACTTGTCTGGCTTTCCCAGGAGGCTGAAGCCATTAGCAGAACTGAAGGTTTTACGAGGTAACGCTGAACACTGACATCGTCCAGGGACTAGTGAGGGCAGGTCTGCTTCAACAAGCTGTTGGGGGGGGGGCGTTAATGGGGGGCCGGGATTCACTCTTTATAGTGAGTCTACAGTCCCTTCACAACCTGGAGCAGTTCCTGACCATTCCGGGTACAGGCCGTGGGAGAAAAGAGGTCCATTATCAAGAGAGACTACCCTACAGTGAAGGAACACCAGGCCCCAGCAATGCTGGAGAAGGCAGGCAGGGAGACAGGGAGACAGGGAGGGAGGAGGGAGGAAAGAAGTTAAGAGCTAACCAAGATGAAGCTTACGGCCAAGCTTCGGCCACTTTGGGTAGCTGTGGCAGGGGGTCAGCAAAGCCAAGATGTGTAATCACTTCTCAGGGAGAGGCCACACAGAGCATGGGCCCCCGCTGCAGAGGGGAGGCAAGGAAGGTGGGGGTGGAGGCGGCAGGGCATTAATGAACAGGCTGCAGTGAAAGGACAGAAAGGGGAGGAGATAGAAAACAAAGCTGCAGAGCTCAGATCAACTAGAAACAGCTATTGGCAGTGCAGAGTGGGAAAGGGCAGAGCCCGAGGCCGGGACAAATGATTTGCACCTACCCCCATGGGCAGATGGAACAAGGCCCAGACTGGCAGGCGGGAGCCCAGCCTGGGGTCAGAGAAGAGCCAGGACAGCAGTCAGGCGGCTTCAGCTCTAGAACAGGCTGGGCTCCTCAACCCCCAAGATTCCGAGTCCTCTGACCGCCTCGCTCACCCTTGGGGGCCAGTTCAAATGTCACCGCTGCCCGAGGAGAGGCTCCCGAAGGCTCCTCAGAGCTCACACAGCACGCTGCACCCAACCCCGTCCTGGCACTGAGCTCAGGACTTCACTCTGAGCGCTTCTCTCCACCACAGCCCGGGACAAAGCCAACTTCTCGGGACAGAAGCTTCCTTAACTTTACTACCTGTCCTGTGAGCCGACGCCTTCCTTTGTCCCCAAGCCATGAGCTTCTATCTGCAAGGGAGAACTTGCCAGTATCTCTGGTATTCTGGATCTGGTGAGTCAATGGGACAAAGGAAAGCCCTAAACTCTCCCAGCTGCCTGTCCAGAGGGACCGTCTGCACCTCCGTCTTCTGGTCTTCTGTGGTGTTCCAGCAAGCACCCTGACGGCTTCCCTCCTAGACTGTCATTCGGAAATGACACTGGGACCTTTCTGTTAGTGGGAGCACCACTGATTTACAAGGCTTTGTCCTTCTTTGCTTTAGAGGTTCAAGGTCACGGCTCTTGGAGTCAAGCCTGGGGCGTTTTGAGCCCATTACATACACATGGCTTGGGCAGAGCGTTGGTCTGAGCCTTGGTTCCCTATTCTGCCTGTATTGCAGTTTCCCCAGGACCTGCGGGCGGGGGTGCATGTGGCGCCGGGACTCCCTGACCCCTGCGGGCTTTGGGACAGCCACATCTGGTCTAACCCAGTCTCTCTGACACGGACAGCAGACGCTCTCGGCGTTGATGTGCAGACACACACTCACCACTGCTTTATGAGAAAGGCACCTCGTTATATTTGAGACACTACTGATACGATGCCCCAATTCTCAAATGCTGAGAAATAGACAGCAGCGTCTGCGGGCGGGCGCCATGGATCCTGTCTCATGCTTCCGGGCCTTGCGGTTTTCTGCCTCGGGCAGCGTGCAGCTTTTCTATCGCACACTGGTCACTAGTCACGACAACAGCTGGCTTCCTTCTCTGACAGGTTCCTGCCTCACGCAGGTCCTCGCTTAGGCTAGGTTGCATTTTTTTTTCCTTCTCCAAAGTGTTTCTTACAATCAATCAAGGGTTGCATTTTTTTTTTCCTTCTCCAAAGTGTTTCTTACAATCAATCAAATGACCTTCACATCTTAGACGTTCTGGATTGAGCTTTCACACTGGGGGCTCTCCAGTCTTCTTACAACCGGAGGAGGATCCCCTGGCCGAGTGCACTCCACGTTGTTTGCAGCTACGCCTGCTTCCAAGTGTCCAGGTCACCCCTCCCCTCCTGGTGGTGCACACCTCCTGGCCCCCAAATCAGAGATATAGCCTACTGGTGGAGGGCCGTCCCGGACGGGAACCCCACTTCCTCTCGTGTGTGTGTGTGTGTGTGTGTGTGTGTGTGTGTGTGTGTGTGTGTGTGTGTGTGTGTGTGTGTTGGGGATTTTGAGGAGATAACTGCCTAGTCCTCCAGTATCATTTATCCAGCCACTTCCCAGCCCACCAGGCTATTGTCCCCAGAACCTCCAGGGCAGTGTCAGAAGATGCAGAGATTAGTCATTTCCTCCTAATCTGGCTAAGACAGCTCCTCTTGTTAAACTGCCGACTGCAGGCAGTTCCTGTTCAAGCAAAGCAGCTGGAAAAGGCTTAGCCCTTTAATGCCAGCAGCTGCATCTCCACAGTGCGGCTGCTCACTGCTCGGGTGAGGGGCTGGAGTCTGTCCAGAAGTATCAGACGTTTAGCCCCAGTCAATGTGTATTAACCTGGGAGGAGAGCAGTCAGCTCTCGGGGAAGCGGGGAGGAGGTTCATTTAAGCACCTCCACCCCCAGGCTTTGCTCTCCCCTAAAGAAGAAAAGTCCCAGCCCCTTCGCTCCCCTAACCTCTGAACTGTGGCACCTCAGAGGCAGTAAA